GTGCATCCATCCATCAAAAATACTTATTGGGATTTATGTTCAGGTATTCTTAATGTAAACAAAACTTTAAAACAATGGGAAAAAAGGCAATGGAGACCCGACTTTGGATATACGAACAGCCTCTCGGTCCCCATCATGTTCATAAGTTGGGGACTTTCTGTAGTATTAGGCATGTTCCATTCTTTCAATACAACAATTATCAGTTATAGCAGCATGTTTCTTGAAACAAAATTTAGTGCTTTAAACAATTATGTATGGGAACTTAATCAAGTAAAAATCTCAAAATCACAGATACATTGGGCATCTTCTGGACGTGCCATAAAAGATAATCTAGTATTAAAGTTTAATCCAGAGCTCTAATGTGCATGCGGAATGGCAGCGTCCAGGATTAACTTTTAATTCACCTCCAGACTAGACCTTACCTTTGAGCTTAAATTTTAATCCTGCACATGCACAGAACAGGCTACTCAATCCCACCAATCATGTATTGATACATAAAGACGTCATCAACTCCTTAGAAAAGATGGATGTGAGTTGCAATAATTCTGACATTTTTATGTCACAGATGTATGTGAAAATTCATCAATGTTTATTTTTACAAGTTGTAGGATATTCAAATTGCAAATAGAGTGAAAAGAAAAATGAAAAGAATTTCCAGAGTTTACAGAAACAGGAAAGGCAATGTTATTTCCAGGTTGAAAAAACATTCCCAACTTTTGCAATATATTAATAAAAAAGTTTTTAATATCACGATTAGGTTCCAAATTCAAAGTACACACTTCCTGACAAAAGTACCCTACCTGTGTCCTGTTATCCCATGAGAAAAAGCTCTTGGAGAAATATAAATTAATGTTATGAGTATCTTAGTTTATTTAAGTTTTCTTTGAAATGTATAGGCTATATGAAGTCTTATGTATATTTAATTGTACTGACACATATATTTAGTATTAGTGTATGTTTATATATATATGTTTATATATATATTATATATATGTTTATATATATATTATATATATGTTTATATATATATATTATATATATGTTTATATATATATTATATATATGTTTATATATATTTTCTCTAGCAAATGCTTTGTTATCAACATAAACCTATATGAAACTTGTAGAGTGTGAACACTATTTGCCATTACACAAATACCCACTTTTTCATGTAAAACAATATATTTACTGATAATCACAATGTCTAGTTCACCTGGCAGTGTGCCTTGGATCTTCTGTGCAAGTACTGTGACTTTGGATTAAACTTTAATCAGGAATTAATTCTTATAACATGTACAGTCACTAAAAAATTATCTTTACTCTTTCTAACTTAATAATGTGATATGATGAAAAAGGTTGGAATAGGTGCTGTGAGGTCAATCTGTTATTGGTATCCCTGCCCCCATTTGGGGGAAGGGGGCAGGAAGGGGCAGTTGTCTCCCCCTATACTGTATTCCCCCACAAGGGCCACGGTGTTCATTTATTGTTTATTTTACTAATTACACCAATATAGATCCGATTTTAGCTTAGAATGGCCTAGAATTAAATTTTTTTTCAAAATTTTTGTTCATTTCTCTATAATAAGATCAGTTTTGAAATGTATGATAATATTTCATGTTTCTACCACTAGCTTGGTGAATGCTTGTAAGTCAACGTGGTATAGATGCCACTAATGCTGCTGTTAACTGGCATTTGCCTGCAGTTTAATTGCTTCCATGTTGTAATTGCTTGGGCAAAAATGATATGACAATTGTGGGCATGATCTTGGGAGGAAGTCTTTGCCAATGGCTCCCTAAAGATTCTCGGTGAGATTGAGATCTTGTGGTCTTGAATGGATATGTCACTGTTTAATCTCTGGGTGTTGCTGAAATCGCTCCTTCATGACACACAACACTGCTCATGTGGATGGGGCTGTTATCCTAGATGAAATAAAATAGCTTTGTCTTGGATAACACCATGACTTTTAGTGATGGAAGAAACATTTCATCCAGGATTTCCATGTAGGCATACCTCATAAGTGTGCTGGCCCAACAATTGTAAAATCCCCGACACAGCTGCTAAGCATTCACTCAAACTGCGCAGTGATTTCTAACAGTCTGCATGCTTTTTACAGCAGAACAAAAGGGGCTCGCAGTAAGGGAACGTGGTAACAAACTACCGGGTATCCCCCCCCCACTCAGACCCTGTGAGGGGTGCTGCCACAAAGGATTAAAGGGTTTTCGTTATCTCATGATATTCATGCACTTCAATGCAAGGTTCCTAATTGTCTTTCATATATCACATTGATTTATAGATTTGAATGACGTTTACTTAATCATCTTCCCCCATTGTGCATCTAGGGTGCCTACTTCTGGCCTTGTCTCTGGTGCATCCAGTTGCATGCTGTTGCTGGATCCATAGAGATACCTTTGGCTATAAAATACCTGATCCTGATATTTTGACTCTTAACAGTCCCTCAGATTAAAGTGTAATTATGACATTACAAATGGGTTATGAGGTCTCCATTGCTAATAGTAACATGAGACAGGCCCTAGCCAAATCAACTCAAAGCACCCTTTCTGAATCAGCGAGGGATTGTTTCAGTTTTATCTACTCCCCAGTAAAGATATATATATATATATATATATATATATATATATATATATATATATATATATATATATATATATAAATATATATATATATATAATATATATATATATATAATATATATATATATATAATATATATATATATATAATATATATATATATATATATATATATATATATATATATATATATATATATATATATATATATATATATATATATATATATATATATATATATATATATATATATATATATATATATATATATATATATATATATATATATATATATATACATATATATATATATATATATATATATATATATATATATATATATATATATATATATATATATATATGTATATATTTATATATTTATGTATATATATATGTATATATGTATATACACACATATATATATATATATTTTTATTTTTTGTGAGTGTACAGAATATGCCTATTGTAAATGCTTCTCATAGCTTCACCATCTAATAGTGGCTAATCAAACTTATGAAGTAATTGAGGTTTATTTTTTCACCATAACCAAAAAACTGATTCAGTAAATAGAAAACATGCTGCATTATATTTCCTATATAACATTAACTACATGCAGAACTGCAATAGGGCTACAGTGAATATGTAGATGCTTTATCAATTTGTGTGTGTATGTGTGTGTGTGTGTGCATGTAGCATCAGTGGAAAGCAGAATCAAAACTTGGTGATGAGTTACGAAACAGTATTATGAATACCCATTATTTTGTGTTAAAATCTGATAAT